CTACATCGGAGGCTGTGAACCCTAAAGCCCCTTCACACGGCATAAAGAGTCGTTGGAGGGTGGTTTCCCTCCTTCATATCCACGGCTTAGAGTTTAGGGTTTAAGAGTTTAGGGCAAGTTTAGGGATTAGGGATTAGGGTGCTGTCTTGCACACCATGGCTGTCAGTCAAGCTAGGCAAGCAGGTGACATTGCAAGGCTCTGAAGCACCGAGTCCTGGCCTTCCTTGGAATTGCTGCTTGTGAGACAGGCGTGATAGACACGATGCTGGTAATGTGGCATCGATTGCCCTGAATGGGTAGGCTTCGGGGGCTCCTACTATGAATAAGTAAATAAATAATAAATAAATATATGTATGTATGTATGTATGTATGTATGTACATACATACATACATACATACATACATACATACATACATATATGTTGGCCACCCTGAGTTCCAAAATCCGTCTAAACCCTTACCCTAAACCCCCGGAACTCTGAACCGAGAGTTCGGATGAACAGTCTAAGCCCTACAGTAGAAGCCCAAAAGTTGGAAACTCAAGAGCCTCAATCCTAAAGAGTAATGTATAGGGAATCCCAGCACTATTTGACCTGAATCCGGTTTCCAACTTTTGGGGGTTTACTGTAAACCCACTGTATTCGCGGCCAGGCACACTGATCAGCTCCTGTGACGTTGATGCCCCGCTCTTGCCCCCGCCTCAGCAGCCTTCGGGTTTTGGCATTTAGGCGTTACCTGGACCCCAAAGAACCTCCTTTTTGGTTCCTTACTAGTAACTACTTAGTATGATTTCTTTATATATGTCCATAAGACGGCAGGATGTTTGGGGTTAAGGTAGGGCTTAGATAGATGCGAGTTTCGACGATTCCTTCTAGCATTGCTGGACTTCGGAGGTGCGCAACCCAGATGCCATCGAACTCGGCGGAACGCTGCGAAGCAGGCGGGTGTGAGCCTACGGAATGTTGCTACACACCTGAGAGCTTCAGAAAACTATAATGAAAAAGGCAATGCGTAAGCCCGTAACTGTAAACATCCCCTCCAAACTGAGGAAACCTGATCTGATGCTGCGAACACAAGCCTGCTGAAGAGGCTCTTGGAGACACATTCTAACCCTGAACCTTAATTTCACCCTAAAACCCCCAAACTAGCCCCTAACCCCTTAACCACTAAACCCTAAATCTCCTAACAGACCCGCGGCAGCGTCTACACGACCCTTCTTGGACAATTGCCACTTGGAATGTACATTCCGAGACCGGCCCTGAGAGCTCCCCAGAGAGCCCTTACTTAAGGAATATACTTTACATCATAAGATGAAGGCCCCTATAATTTAAGGTATATTCCTTATTTAAGGGGTCTTGGGCTCTCTGGGTCTGTTTAGTTAAGACCTCCCTTTTTGAAAGTGTATTCTCAAAGGTCCCTGGGCCCCTCCAAACACTTCGTCATGCAGTTGCGAGATCCCTGACCATGGGCCCAGAAACCTGATCATGCCCCGGAGCCTCCACCTTACCCCTAGGCTCCTTAGTAGTTCCTTTTTGGGGATTACCTTATAGGATTCTAAATATGAACCATAAAAATAAGGTGATCCCAAAAAACCCTAAACCCCAAAACCCTAAACCCTGGTAATCCCAAAAAGGAACTACTTAGGAGCCTATGGGTAAAGCCTCAGCATCGACACCCCAGGCCCTACACATCCCTACACCCTCAACGTAAACCCTACCTAGACCGTCTCTAGAGTGCAGAAGCCTACCCCTTACCCTCAAAGGACTTATATGTTAAGGCTTTTGGGCCCAAAGACGCTATTATGTAAGGCTTTTGAGCTATTTTGATGCTGAGGGTACCAGAAACTCCACAATCCAGCGCAAGTGGACTGTAGCTTGAGCGCCTCTTCGACCTACCCATAGGCCCCTACGTAGTTCCTTTTTGGGGATTACCTTCGGGAACTGCACAGGGGCCTATGGGAAGCAGCTGAAGTTCCAAACTCCCTAAAACGGAGCCCGCAGACTGTAAGGGAGCCTCTGGGCAGGTTGAGGGTGGTTTGGGTGTAGGGTCTGGGTACCGCGCAAGTCCGTAAAGGCACTGCTTGAGTACATGTTATCCGCAGGTCCTTTCGGAAGCCCGTCAACAGTAAATCCTAAAGCTGGCATGGGTGGTTGAACTCGACGGGGCTGTGGTCCATAGGCTCCTTATAGTAGTTCCTTTTTGGGATTACCTTATAGGATTCTAAATATAAACCACAAAAAGGAACTACTTAGGAGCCTATGGGTGGAGTGGTGACATGTCGGGCTCACGGGCTTTGCCTGTCCAAGCTTGCCGGGCTTGGCAGTCAAGTTAGTGTTGAGGGTTGAGGGTTTAGGGTTCTTACGGGTCTTGCGCTGGGTTGAGGTGCGTGAGCCAAACCCTTCGCACTTATTCAGCCCGACGTTCTTAATCTTAATTTTTCGCTGATGAGGCTGAACAACATGTTCTTGTTTGCAAGCTGCTGAAAGTCAGATTTGTTATAGCAGTTTTGATTTAGGTGTTCATTCCAGGGTCCTCGTGATCAGGATCCCTGCATTTATAGATCGATTTGAAGCAAGGTTTGCTGGCCCTGAAACTTTCAATGCCTACCTGTGGCCCAGAATACAAGACCTACTTTTGTCAGAAACTACATATCTATCTGTCTATATATATATATATACATAGATACAAATATAGAAACCATAAGACGGAGCCCTAACAAGGTATGTCTTTTCGGCGAAGCGTAGGGTTTAGGGTTGGCTCCGCGTTCCTAGCACCGACGTGCACAGGCATCTCTTCCTCTTCTTGAGTCCCTAATAATATAGGAGTTTCCGAAACTAAGGGGTGCCTTATTTTGGGGTCCTTATAATAAGGATCCTACTATTTAGGGTACTATATTACGGTCCCCTATTTTCGGAAACCTCCATATAGAGGCCTAGTTAATTACCAGTACTATTTTGGGTTTTCCTTCTTATGGTTATACTATAATGGACCCAAAAACCTCATTCTAATTGTGAAGGCTCCTTTTTTAAACAACCCGGAACCTGGAAGACCAAAAGTCCTGAGTTCGGTGTAACCCCCACAGGCACATGCACAGCATCTAAAGCAACCAGGAACCCAGAGAGCCCAATACCCCTTGAATAAGGAATAGTACCTTAGACTATAGGGGCCTTAATATATGATTTAACGTATATTCCAAGATCTGCAAACCTAGACCGCAAAAGCCTACCTTGACGCAGATGAGGCTGTTCGTTGGCGGATGGTTCTTTGAAGGCTTCCCATGACCGAAGCCACGAACTCAGACAGAGGTATCCGTTGCAGGGGTTTTAGGGTCCAGGGAATTGTTGGAAGTTTAGGGGTTTAGGGCGTTGGGTTTAGGTTTTAGGGACTAGTTGGAGGTTGAGGGCAAATTAGGTGTAGGGTTGGGTTTTAGGGTTTAGGGACGTGCACTGCGCGAGTAGTGTTGATTCTAGTCGCTTAGAGGCACCGCTTGGCCAATTCCATTCCGGGCTTGTCTCTGACTTTTCGAAAGGGAGCAGGGGTTAGATGAAGGGGAACAATTATTAAATACTTCTTGTTCCCCAACCAAGGCAGTCATAGCCTTACATACTAAGTCCTCTGATCTCTTAAGCAAACCCACAAACCCCAAAGTCCTTATACAGGCCCCTCCACAGTTGCTTACTAAGTCAGCTGAGCCTTTATGGAAAGGTTGTCTGGGGCACAGAATTGCAAATGCCAAGGCTTAAGGAACAATAGGAGGGACCCCTGGAAGGGACCCCTAATCCTAATGCCCTACATATATACCCCTTATATAGTCTCATAAAGCCCCTACATAACCCCAAGGGTCGCTCCTTTAGTCCCTTGAAAATGTGCAGAGGTGTCTTCAAGCCATTCCGCACGTGCCTCAGAGCAGAATCCTCATGTTCAAGTGGGAAGTTGGAGTTTAGTACCCTTACCCTCAAAGGACTCATATTTTAAGGCCTTTGGGCCCAAAGACCCTAGTAGTTATAGAAGGCTTTTCGGCTATTTTGATGCCAAGGGTTAAATTTGATTAGTTCAGAGCTCCCTACATGACAAGGACCTCACGAGAAGTCCCTGTACAAGGATCCCACTACGTGAGAGGTCCGTGTAAGTACTCTACTGATATTGACGGTCGAACAGTTCTCAATATTGTTTTAGGGCGATCCGAAACGGTCTTGGGCGAATTACCGAAATTCACGCCGAGGCTTTCCATGTAAAGCAGGTCATCCGCCACCTTTCGAGTGCCGTTCATAGAAGGATGTTGAACCGAAGAATGTTGCAGCTCGGAGTCCTGCCTGAGGTGTGGAATATCTTGAGTCAAGACTGCAATCGAGCTCCTATCTCCTGTCAAGCATCATGATCGAGCACCTAAGATTTCTGGCACAAGCTGGTGCTTATAGAGCTCGCAGATCTCTCCTGTCATCGTACGTCTGCTGATGACAGCATCGCGCCCGACCTGTTCCAGACAAATCTACTGAAGCATGTGCTCCTTGTGGATGTACGCAAATTTCCCCAGAAATACCTGCCGACTTTCCTGAGGCAATGCGCATGGCCCGCGTATGGCTGCCCGCGCATCCCGCAGTCGAGTGCTTAGACGAAGGACTTTCACCCGAGCTTGCACGCTTCCACACTGTTCGTGCGAGTGTTTCCTGAGACCTGTCGTGCTGACTTGTATTTTGCTATGATGTATTTCACCCATCTGGCGCACATTCATGACTTACGGCTCGCAGAGCACGACCTGGACGTTGGCACCCACACAGCTCTTGCTTCCACAATGGCTGACGACGATGTGGCAAGCACAAGGTCCAGCCTTACCAGCATTTTTCATGACCTCTTGGGGGAAGGCACAGCAAGAGACGTCGCACGAGAAGAATGCCTCATGGAGAAAACGAGACAGCTGGGAGCACCTCGGCGTTACCAGTAGAGCGAGGAAGGTTGTCAGTTCTGCTTCTTTGTATTTACGGACAGCTGCACTGCAGGTGATGCTTCCGGTTCAGCAGCCCAAGCCGAGCAACCAGGGTGATGTTGCGCTGTTTGGAATCATGCGACTCCGGCAGCTATGCGAAGAAGATGCACTGCAGGCACTACAGAGTTGGCAATCCTGCAACACTGATGTCCTGTCTGTCTCCGAACTTCACGCAGTTCAACTGCGTCTCAGCGCTGCCATGCATGCCAGAGTGCCACTTTGGCATGTGATCGTGGAGTCCCTTGGAGATTCGACGAACCGCAGTGGACGGCGAAAGTCGCAAGCTGTGAGCACATACTTCATGCAGAATCTGGATGAACTTCGAGAACTTGCAAGGCAGTGCCTCGTAGATTTTCTCGACGAGGACAAGCCAGACGAGCTTGAAGAAGCAATCCGCAACCCGCAGTTTCAAGACTGGGCTTATCAATGGTACCTGCAGTCAGAGGATTTGTCTGACATAAGGTCAGTCCGCTACATTTGCAGGCTGCCAGGCTGCAATGTTCTGCTGCATTGTATTCGCAATGACTTCAGCGAATGTTGCCAACTATTGCTGTCAAAGTTCAGTGACCGGACAGCAGCAAAGAAATGGCTGATCTTGGCAGAGCCTCTGCGAGTTTTCAACAAGTTCGAAGCGAACTGCTTCCACGAAGCCGCCTACTGCGGATCCCCGGGATGTCTTGAAGCCTTGATTGCCTTTGCGACGGAGCAGGGTATTTCTTGGAAGGATCTCACCGACAAGAATGGCAAAACTCCGCTGGACATCGCCAAGAGCCAGGTCGAGAAGAAACAAGAAGCTGCTGCCTTGGCCTGAGCACCCTCAACCGTGAAATGTGTTGGGTGAGGTCAAGGTCCTTTCAAGCCTGGCAGTCTAGAAAACTCGGAGGCTTTTTTTTTGTGGAGGGGGGGAGGTTCAATTTATGTGTGTTGGGGTTTTGGTGTCTGGCTCGACAGAAATGCAGAGGTAAGGGCGATAAGGGTAGCAAGACAGGAAACCCGGCATAGATAGACAAAAACATGAAGTAAGGAAGGTAGCAAGAAAGAAAGAAAGAAATATAGCAAGAAAGAACGAAAAGAAAGAACAACATGCAGACAGCAACAGCGAAAGAACGACATAACACACGAGCACATTCTCAAACAAAAGCTAAAGAGACATAAATCAGATAAATGCCAAGACAATAAAGACTCCCGTGCAGAAACAATCACATAGCCAGTAAGAAACGACACAATTAAATAACGACGGACGGAACTAAACCAGCAACAGTGAGGAACGATTGAGACAGTTCAAGCAAAGAGCGCATGAATAGCACAGACAACTCACGCAAACAACAAGCAGGCCAAAGCACACGGAAGCAACGAGGAAAAGACGAGGAAGCTAAGCGACCGAATCAATGACAGCATTGCAGGAACAAGACCGGAAATCATCAGGTATCATTATAAATTATAAATTAACGACGCGACACGCAAAGGCGCCAACAAGTTCATTGTCATTGTTTACACCGTGTGCCCTCTTTGGTTGGAGGAACGGAAGGAGGAAGGAAGGACGGAGTAAAGGAAGGAGGGTCTAAGAAATGTGGGCAACTGATAAGCGAGTGGGGTTAAGACATGTGAGCAAGCGCCGTCGCCAAACGAGAGGCCTAAACCCTAAACCCTGGTAGCAAAACCGTGAGGAACGCCTGCGTCACTAGTTGAGCGGGGAAGGGAGCAAGAGTCAAGGCGCGAGCGAGAGACTTATTGTTGAGTGGCTGATAATTTTCTGCCGTTTTGAACCAGGTGCCAACACTTCGCATCCTGGAACGGGAGTACGGCATAGACTCCTCAGATGTGCAGCTAGATGGTGACTTTGCACAGGAAGGCGTATTGATTGTAAGCTTAAGGGCCCATGAAACTGATGGCAAGGAGATTGCGCGGAAAAAGTACAAAGTGCCATCTGCAACTACATCGTGGAGTGACCTCGTAGCGCTGTCGCACCAAGCACTGCAAGAGCTGAAAGAGCTCAGAAGTTGTGCTGAGGAGAAAGTGCTACTGTTGCTTTGGAAGACGTCTGTGGAGGGCAATGACACAGCGGCGATGAAGTCTTTTTTCGAGATGTGGCTGCATGCGAGCAGCTTGAGTTTCTTCAAATGCAAGCTTGCACATCCAGCAGCTGCCACAAGTTTGGTCAACGTGGTTGCAGCACTCTTGGACAGGGATGAGGTGCGACCGCAGTGGGAGATGCTTCACATTTTCCAGTGCCTGTCTGCAGGTGCAGAAGAAGCAAGCAATAGCTGCGAGTGCGAGGCAGTTCAGGCCAAGCGGGAGCTTGCACAAAGGGTGAAGAACCTTTGCGAGGTGATAGTCAGAAGACCGTCACGTCCACTTTGGCGGCTTGACCCTCTGCCGCCTTGGATTTTGACAAATGAAGACAGGCACGTCCCTGCTTTGTTGAAGGCATCCCTGGATGTGAAGGGATGCGTTCGGCTCCTTCGTGGCGGCATCCTTCCATACCGCTTCTTCTGGACCCGCTTGACGTGGGTGGAGCGCCGCATGAGTCGCATGCAGATGCTAAACAATGTTGAAATGGAAGCCCGAGATGCTTTGGATCCCTGCTCTTGTTCGTGCATAGTTGGCTGTGCAAAGCTGTGGCTGGCAGCCCTCTATCCCAAGGGGCCCACTGATGCCGAGTACTGGGTGAGAGAAGGCGGCCTCAGCGATGCTGAACTGAAAGAGCTGCTCTTTCAGCTTGAGAGTGCCTTGTGTGGCGCCCTCACCATGTCCGCACTTTTGCCTGGACTCCTTCAGGAGTTGCGCAAATCTTTACAAGAGACAGCGCCGGATGGCGGCTTCCTCAAGGTTTCAGAAGTCTTGCGGCATGCAGACTCTGAGGTAGCTGCAGCCGCTCTTCAGGCCATCGAGCCGGTTGCAGTATCATCTCAGAGGGGCATTGAGAAGGATCCGGCCGAAGCCTCCAAGGGCAAGGGTGAAGCCTTCAAGGGCAAGGGCAGGGAGAAGGGCAAGGGCAAAGAGGAGAGCAAGGGCAAGGGCAAGAGAAGATCGTGAAGGAGACCGCGATATGAAACCGGATTGGGCTCATCAGCCGGTCCTGAAGCTCAATCTTGTTAGCATGCAAAGTTTCCGCGTCCAGGAGCATGTGCCCAGCTCAATGGACAAGATCTTAAATCAGTGTGATCCGTGACTTCTGCCGCACCGGCATGTGGAATGGCAAGAAGCTCTTCGCCCTGTAGGCGAATGATTCCCAATCTCAAGTCAGCGGCATTTATCAACAACTTTGTGGTTTAGGGTTTAGGGCTTGCCAGTACACAGATTGCCGTGCCGCAATTTTGCAATGGTGCTGAATGCCTGAATGCCCACACAAACTCCCAACGACATGACGCTGTCCTGTCACTGTACAGACGCTGTCGCATTGAACCTTCAAAAAGGACTGCTTGGCGTATTAATGCAGGCTTGCATTGTGAAGCCGATCAGTGTTCCAGCATGCCGCAAGCGACGACATACCAAGGCTGCAATGAGACGTGTTAGAGCTGGACGACGACCTCACGCTCACCTTGCAGTCCGGTGCTGCCCCCAGCTCTTGTTCTTTCGCAGAAGCCGGGCGCTACATTCCAGACCCTCACCCCTCAATCCGAGACCCCGAACCCAAAACTCGTCTCTACCCATAGGCTCCTAAGTAGTTCCTTTTTGTGGTTCATATTTAGAATCCTATAAGGTAATCCCAAAAAGGAACTACTTAGGAGCCTATGGGTAGACCTTCAGAGCCTGCCTTGCGCATCCATTCACGAAGCCCTTTCACTAAGGGTCCAAAGGACCTAATAATCATGTACTTGGGTTACGGATAGTGGTTTTGTAGGTTAGTATTCAGAAGAGTATATGATTATTAGGTATTTGGACCCTTAGGGTTTCACTTTCCTAGAAGGTCCAAGGCCAATAGCTCGATGTTTAGATCCCAAAGTCCTATGATTGAGTTTTGGAGCCCGTAACAGCACTACTAAACCCTAGGCCCTAAATCAAAATATGATAACCCTCACACAAACAATGCCGAAACCCGAAACTCCTAAACCCCAAAGCCCCAAAGCCCTAAACCCCTAATCCCCCAAAAACCCCTATAAATAGAACGCCCCTGCTTTTATTTGGGTACTTGGACTTCACGGGTTTCATAGCCATGAACTGGAAAGATCCCAACAAAGCTTAGGATTTAGGGCTTAGGATTTGGGGCTTAGGGTTTAGGGTTTGTGGTTTAGGGCTTTAGGGCTTAGGGTTTGGAGTTTAGGGTTTAGGGTTTTACATGGAGTCTGAGGGTTTTCTCCATCTTGCAGAACCCTAGAGTAACCCCTTAAAGAGGACCCTATTACAGAGCCCTACCCTATGCGACGCATCAAGCAAGGGTTTTTTTGTTCATGGCGTATGAGGGTTTTCTTCATAGTTTTTTTTAGGGTTCTGCTTGCCCCCTACACCCTAAACCGTAAACCCTAAACCCTAAACCCCAAAACGTAAACCCTAAACCCTAAACCCTCAACCCTAAACGGTGGGTCGGGCTTCATCCCTTGAAAGCCTCAAGTTAGACAATTCTTTTAACCCTTCACCGCAGACCGTCGGTCTTTGGGCGTTTAGCAGCCGCCCCTCCGATCACCGGCCAAACACCAAATAAATCGGTCGTTGGGCATGTAGAATGTAGAAGTATAATTTCAAACATTCCCTGTAGGAACCCTCGTAGAAAGCCTTGTAGTAACCCTTGGAGAAAGCCCCATAGCAACCCTTACGAAACCCTAAACTCCACACCTCATCTTTGCAAGTTCTCTCCAAGATCCTTGGAAGCTTGAGCTCTTCAGCAGGGTAATCTCCGGGTTGGTACCGAGATCTGATGAATTTGGAACAGTTCTTCCCTACAGTCTTTATATAGCACGACATTAGTTTACTCCAAAGCCCTAGTGTCACAATTTCAGTATGGTCTCGAGATTACGTTGCACTGACTGCGGCGTTAGGTCCGGGACCCCACGTCCCCTTCCGCGCACCGCAAACCGATCCAAACATGTCTGCTCCTGTGACCAGCACAGTGCAAGGTCCGAAGCAGTCTTGACTGCTGAAATTGATAACGGAACATAGCTAAACCCTAAACCCTAAACCCTAAACCCTACCCAACAGCAGTAATTTCTTACGAAGGTAGCAACGATGCTGTGTGGCTGACCGAGGCATCGGGACATCATGTGCCAAAGCTTGGCTACGCAACTACCGGTGGCTGGCTGGCAGGAGCATATTAACCTTAATACTTTTAGATAATAATATGGGTATGAATATTAATACATATATATATATACACACATGTGTCTGTAATGTTATATTGTACGTTGCATATATGTATATAGTAATGTTTTAAAAATGAGCACTCTGAAAGCTTGGCACAGCGAGCATCAACGTTTCAATTTCTGAGCCCCGAGGGCCCACAGCAACATTGCAAGACTTGACTGTTTGACTGGGTGATCTTCCTGATTGTGAACAACATGATTACAATGAAGATGCCGATGATGATCTTGACGATGATGATGTCATGATGAGGCAATTAATGCCATGGTCATGAGGATTGTATCCGAGCGTTATCAGGGTGATAAGGCCTAGGGCACTTCACATGATGCTGATTGGGATGATGAGGAGTAGCTTGGATAGTCAATCTGGCAGTACTACCCGTGCAATAAAAGCACCCCCGAGCTCTGATACCCACATCGTACTCCCACAAACTGAAACCATACACCCCAAACCAAGCCGCTCCATTTTATCGTTGACATCTATAGTTGCATACTGCCTCACGTTGCAAACCCCCAGCACTTAGCCCCAAAGCTCTGCACCATAAGGGGTTGAGGGTGTAGGGACCTCAACTCAAGACGTTGTGACCCCTGAAATACAGCATAGGGTATACTTAAAACAGTCGGACAGTCGGTAGTGGGGATGAGTTAGGCCGACATGCAGGGTTGGCGGCCCGAGATATGAAACCAACTGAAGGGCTAGGGAACCTGTTGGGGGCGGGCGGCCCGAGATACAACATGCTGAGGGACTGTGGCGGATGCTCAGGGTTGGCAGCCCAGGATGCAAACCAGACGAGGAATTGTGGGCGATTTTGGGGGATTCAGAATTGCGCTCGACTGAGTTTAGGATGTTTAGGTGGAGCCCATGCAACTTGAATAGAAACGCCTTCGGACATACTTTGAATACAAAAAACTTATGCACTAAAATGAAACAAAGCCTGGCCGACCTGGGTGGCGACCCCGAGATGCAAAATCTCTTGTTCTGCATCTGGGGCTGCTAACTCTGCATGTCGGCTCTCTAAACCTGCATGCCAGCCAGCCAACAATTCCCTGCGGACAACCCTTTTCAAATATACGTGCGCGTGTATGTATGTATATAAAAATATAATCATTATATGTAATTTTGTATTCAAACATTTATGTGAATTTAGAGGCCTACATACACACATACGTACATGAATATGTACATACACAGTTATATACATACATATATTCATATATACATATATACATATATACATATATATATATACTTATTGATTTTGTTATGTATGTGCTCGCATTCAGAGGCTGACATACATGCATGCATACATGCATGCATATGCACATACATCAGTACATACGTATACATAGGTCTGTATACATATATGTATATATATATACACATGCACATACATACATACCAAGAAAGAATCGAACGCCCTAGAACCACTGTGGATCCAGGAGATTCGCAAATTGGCCAGACGACGTTTGTTACAGTCGTCGGCCGGATGACATGAGCCTTAGGAAGGATCTGAAGGGTTCAAAGCGTAGAAGTTGGATTCTTGTCGGGTTTTATGGGGCTCTTAGGGTGAAACAAATCGACCGCAGGGTTTGTAATATCGGTGCCTTAGCTGATTAGGCTACTGGTTTGGTGGTGCTTTAGAGTTTAATTGTCGGAACGGGAAGGACATACTACATAAGTCCTTCCGAGCCTTATAGCTTTAACTCTGGGATGGTCTATGTTTGGGCCCTACAGGTATCTTGCTGCCTTCAGAACGATTCTACAGAGCACAGTGTAGTGTGTGGGGGCTTCGGTTTCTGCCCTAGTCCCTAGGCCCTAAACCCTGAACCCTAAACCCTACTAAACCAAAGAACTAAACCCTGCAACGCGGGATTCTGGTCGTGTGTCGTTCTGTGGGTAGTGTACGGTTGAAGCGTGCAGGTTTTGTAGGCTGTAGGACTTCGGGTTGATTTAAGGATATATAAACGGGTTAGGGTTTAGGGTTTAGGTATGTATATATACATATACACGTATATATATATATACACATACATACACATATATACATATACACACATGTAGATAGATCAAGGAACCCACCCAACAATGTAGGTTGTTTTAAGATTATGTTGGAGTTTAGTGTCTTGGGGTGAGGACTTGCCGAGTTCGAGCCGTGACGGTACAGGGATTTCCGTTCTTCCTACACCCTAAGCCCTAAACCCCTAAACCCTAAACCCCTAAACCCTAATTGCTATAGGTGGTCCTGTGGGATTCTGCGACCTTATAGGATTTCTGGGGCTTTCGGTGTGGTATTCGTGGTGGTTAGGGGGGTGCCGCATAGTGCTTGAGGGTCTCGGGTTTTAGAGGTTCTCGTTGATGTAGGCTTCTCAATCAGGGTAGACCAAGGCCCCCATATAAACCCCAAGGGGTCCCTTTAAGGGTCTCTCCTTTAGTCCCTGGATACGCGCAAGGAGCAGGAGCAAGTTCCGAAAGCTCGAAAGTTTAGAGTTTAGGGTTCCGAAAGTTCAGGACCCTGAGCAGAGGACAAAAGGCTTCCCACATCTTGCAGTCGTCGGCTTCATTGTCTGCGGTGCTTGGGGTTAAGGGTTTAGGGTTTAGGATAGGTTGCGCATTCCTATTCCCATAAGCCCTCATACAACCAATACAAAAACCTGAAAACTTACCAACATCACTCCTCTTGGGCCTCCTTATTCCGAATGTACCATGACATGCCCCCCCAGGCCTTGATCTAACTCTTTCTG